TTTTATTCCATTTTTCATATCTTTTTCTCTTTACATTTTAGTTTAGGAGATTTCTATCGATGTATCTTCAAGATCACAATTTCTTCAGCTCTGTCATCACTGATGAGCCCATGAAAAGCATTCTTTATTTCCATTACTCTTATTGTGTTTTTATTTCTACATTTTCTTTTGATTCTTAGAGTTTCCATCTCTCTGGTTACATTACCCATCTGTTGATATATATTGTTCACTTTTCTCATGGATCCCTTAACATATTAAACATAGTTATTTTGCATTCCTAATCTGATCATTTCAAAATCTCTGCCATTTCTGAATATAGTTCTGATGTGTGCTTTGTCTCTTCAGACTGTGTTCTTTGGGTTTTGTTTGGGAGGGGTTTGGGGGGTTGTTATTTTTTCTTATTTTTTCTTTTTAACATGTTTTTGGTAATTCTGTTATTGCAAACCCATATTATGTATGGGATAAAAGGAACTGAGGTAAACAGACTTTCAGAGTGAGATTTTATGTTTGTGTTGTTAGGCTGTGCTTACTATTAGCTATAGTTGTAGGTGTAAGAGGATAAGATATCCTATAATGTACTTGTTTATGTCTCTACTGTTTTCTTTGTGTTTTCCTAGAGACTGCTTCTTAAATAGGGTCTGAGCTTTGCAGTTCTTTCAGCTGAAAGCCCTTGTTATACAGGAGCCTGATTGCTGTGGTGGTAAGCATTCTATAATCCTATGATAAAGTCTCAGTCTTTTAGTGAGCCTGTGCCTCAGAGCTATGACCTTCACAACTGCTTCTCAGCTTTCCTCATTTTTTTAAAGTGAGACCAGAAAGTTTGAGGGGGGCTGGAGTTGGGTATTATATTTCATTTCCCTCAGGTAGGCTAGGTTTGGTAAAATTCAAGTAGTTTAGGCTCTGATAAAAGAGTTTCCCTTTGGGGGAGGCCTTTGTTAAGAAGGGAATGCTCTGGGCTCATTTCAGGATAGTTGCTTTTTTAAATTCCCCTGACAGAAACATAGGGAAAATTTTCTGTGATCTTCCCCTAAGATCCTGGTAGGGCTCCTAGAAACAAACCTCTTGAAAATGTGGGTATCCCAAAGATTAGATTTCATGGAGTTTTTAAACTCTCAGACTTGTGTGTAGTGGCCCTATAGTGACTTATCAATTATAGTTTGTTTCTACCTGTACTGGCTCTTGGTTCTTGTTTTCTGTTCCCACTATATTGTGATTCTCAGTATTTGCCTCCGTCTCAAGTTTCAGGGTGAGAGTTTGCCCTGTGACCTCAACTCTCTGATGGATCTAAGAGTTGTTCATTTTAATTTTCTTCAGCTGTTTTTCTTATTGTAAGGATGAGTGACAACTTCCAAACTCTTTTTAGTATTAGTTTTTAAGAATAGGTCTTGACTAAATAAAATTTTTGAAGGTGGTGATTTCTGTCACCTGAACTTACTATTTTTTTTATTTTTCCAGTGTTTGCTGTTGCATATAACTTACCTTCGATGTTAATCCTTGGAATAAAATGCTTCTGAAGTTATTTGAAGTATATCCCAGGATCCCCTCATTTGTATCCTCCATTCCAATACCAGTCTCTTTGGTGTCTTTCTTTCATATATTCTGCCAAAACCTGTTTCTGTCTTCCATCCAAAAAAACACTCCTTTATTCCTTTTGTCTAGGAAGATTCTTCTCAAGCCTTTACTTTTTAATGTAGTCAAAATAGTCTCTCCCTTCTTTGAAACCTCTTTGTAAGCATGGCTGTACCACTCTTCTTCACTTCATTATGTCTATATTTTTTCAACTTGTAGATCTTGTCTCTTGTTTAAATTTTACTACTTACTGGGAGCAGGGACCTGGTATTTTTTCAAAGAGAGAGAGCATGCATGTGCACATACACAAATGGGACAAAGGGCAGAGGAAAGGGAGAGGGAGAGAGAAAATCTTAAGCAAGCTCCACACCCAGCACAGATCCCAATGCAGGGCTCAACCTCATGACCCTGAGATCTGAGGGTTCAGACCCTTGCACATCTGCGAGGAGGGACCTGGTGGCACCTGCAGCAGGTGAGGGGAGGCCTGCGCTCCGGCCTGCCCAGGCCCTTAGCTGAACACACACCTTGACCTCGAGACTCTTTCAGCAGCTGCCAGGTCAGATCCTTGCCTCTGCATGTGATTAGCTCAGTGTTTGTCTCTGAAATCTCCCCCTTTCCCTAGGACAGAGCAAGTTCCCCAACAACGACCTAGTCCACATTAAAGGGAACTAACTATGGGAAGGAAACTTCCAGCTGAATGAATAGGAAACTTATCTGCTCGTGGGGGGGGGAATAAAGCTTTTAAACTATACAACGTAGAAGGCAAAAAAAAAAAACTGAACCAAAATCAAGAGTCAGACTCTTAACTGACTGAGCCACCCAGACACCTCAGGAACCTGGTTTTAATGTTTATATTTATCTTACACCAAATGTCTAGCCCAGAGCCAGGCACTTAGTAGAGGATTGACAAAGAATCATTGGTAGGTTGTTATATACATGTATATATCAGTATTTGCTAGGAAATTATGATTGCTCTACTAAGTGATTTGTAGATAAAAACATCAGCTGACTCTAATTCCCATAAAGCAAGTCACTTCTAGATTTTCAAGAGTGATAATGAAGACACCTCATATATATTAATAGATGGACGAAGGATCATTTTTCAATTCCTCCCTTCAGATTCTTTCTGCAGTCTGTGAGGAGCTGTTTTTGGAAACTGCATTAGAAATTAAGAGGGGAAAGGCTTGGTCTGGAAGGACAGGATCAGCTTTCTGCTTCATGCTTGGCAGAGGCTGTGGCTGCCCTGCACATGAAGCTTTAAATCAAACTTAATTTGTGGTGTTTAAGCAGCTTCTGGTACTAAAGGGGCTTCTTCCATTGCAGGTTACACAGAACTAAAATAATTGAGTGTAGTGGGATTTACCCATAACAGGGAGAAAATGGAGAAAGTAAAATTCAATATAAACCCTGAAGACAGCAAATTCCCATTTTTCCTTGGGTAGGTATATGTTGAGAGAGGAAAATTCTAACTTTATCCAGGAAGAAGAAAGTTAATAGAAAGACTACCAATAGAATGTGGTTAAAAAAATTCTTACATTTGTCTAGTTCAGCAATGGTACATTAATGTAAAGGGCAAGAGACTTACTCAAGTTACAAATGCCAGTATTATCAACTCCCAGATATGTGTATCATTGGGAGGGTACAGAAACAGAGCTTTTTAAAAGCATGTGTATTTTGGAATATAATCTGGGCTTCAGATTTCACTGTGGGAGACTCTCAGATTCTAGGAACTCTGCTCCACCAACCCAACTTTAAGCCTTTTTTCTCTCAAAGTGAAACCAGAAGAGATTGGGCCAACTGAATTTTAAATATCAATAAATATCAATTTAATATTTTTGTAGGGATGCCTGGGTGGCTCATCGGTTGAGCATCTACCTTTGGCTCAGGGCATGATCCCAGAGTCTGGGGATCGAGTCTCACATCGGGCTTCCAGCATGGAGCTTGCTTCTCCCTCCGCCTATGTCTCTACCTCTCTCTCTCTCTCTCTCTCTCTCTCTCTCTCTCTCTCTGTGCCTCTCACAAATAAATAAATAAAATCTTTAAAAATATATTTTTGTAGGAGACAAAATGTAAACAATCTAAATTTGATAATGAAATGTTGATGTTTAGTTACATTCCTTTGCATGTGTACAGCACTATTTACCTTTTAAATTACATTAACCCATATTACCCTAACAACAAAGTTAAGTAGGGTAGGTATTTTTCCCAACTTAAAGCTGAGTTATATTAAGGCACCATTGACTTAATGACTTTGTAAAGATCCAGCTCGAACTTGTAAATTGGAGGCCTATACTTAGAACCCAAATTTCTCTGAGCATAGCTGTCTTTTCCAACTTTATGCTAAATGCCAGTAAATCAGAGGGTTCTTCTCTGCATTCATAATCAGGTGTCCAAAAAGGATATGAGAATTAACTCCAGTGCTCCAAATTTCTATCTTGCAACACATGTGTTTAAGAACCTCATCCCAGGGGTGCCTGGATGGCTCAGTCAGTTAAATACATACATACATACATACATACATACATACATACATATCTTTTTTAAAAAGCAGGAGACAGAAAAGTCAGCAGGATACCCACTTTCACCTCAGTCAGGAGTCAGCTGTCCATTGGTGAGAATTTAACTCTGAAGAAACAGGAAGCACACTCCTAGGATAGGTTCCTGGCAACTCATTTCCTCTGTAAAGAACACCTATTCCTGACCATCCACAACCCTTTGCAACTTCACTTGAGAAAGCAAAAAGCAGGACTATGAGAAAATGTCACATAGTACAGGGTTTTCCCTGTGATGGGAGAAAGGAGAAAGACAAACAGGGAGCAGTGTCTGGAAAAGGCAAGGCCATGACATAGGGCTAGCATCATTGGCAGGTTAGGGCACAGAGCGTATGCCTTCATTGGACAAATGCAGGAGGAAAGTAGAGACTTCTCATGGATATTTGGGGTAGAAATACACTAACCACTTTCAGTTTACTTGTTATAAGGCAACCATTTTCAAGGCTCATTTCTTTACCTTTTGACCCTCTGTTGTCAAAACTCTAACCTCTAATACAAACACTACATCTATTGATTTTTTCCCTTCATGGCATGGTGCAAAAACCTAATCTGTTTTCATAAATTCAGCTTAGAACATGAAGCCCAATGTTTCCTCCCTTTTGCCACACAAATCATGTCAGCTTCATTTATCAAAGCCTACTGGCATGGTAATATTTCTTTTTGCTGAGTGAATTCCTCTCTTCTATCCTTTTCCATCTAATCTTCACATCAAGAGTAAATTTTTGTGTTTTCTTGTTGAAGGTTCCATACATAAATGCCACTCAAGATTCTCCATGCCCACTGGAGACCTTGTCAGCTACATAATCATCTGCAATTTTTGCATGGCTGCTCTCTTCCCACATCAAACCAATTCAACTAAGAGTACTGTCTTTATTTCAGGCTCCTGAAAGAGCATCTTGGAGAAAAAGAAGTTGAATTGGCACTCATCTTTGATTCAGTGGTGGAGGCTGACCTGGCAAATTATACCTGCCATGTGGAAAACCGAAATGGACGGAAACATGCCAGTGTTCTGCTGCGTAAAAAGGGTATTTATTTTTATAACTATTACTATGGTTTGTTTAGCTACCAAGTAGCTATTGAAGTTAAATATGCTTCTTAGCCTTATTTTATCATTTAGCATGAACTTCTATTGAGCATTTTGTCTTTTTAAGGAAAAATATCTCTTTTGCTATGGATTTTAGCATAAAATGCCTATAATCTTCTACCCATTAGGAAGTAGATAAATAAAATGAAACGTTGTTATGTGTTAAATTCAGTGAGATAAAATGTACCTGGGTTATAAGAGTTACATTAAATTTGATAGGTATTGACATTCAAATTTTTCTCTGTACTTCACCATCTTATATTGCTTAAATGAAAAACTAAAGATTTTGTTATTGTATAAGGAGCAAAGCCACTTTTTAATTCCCTGACTAAAATATAAATAAAAATAATGAAGTCTATCATAATATTCTTATAATTGTTATAATAAAGATTGTAAACAATATTTCATGATAATGACCTAGTGTTAAGAGGCATCTGGCAGGTGCATAACCTTTAAAATAATTTGGCATTTATGGAAATCCCTCTGTAAATTTGGTTCCAGATAGGGTAGAAATTGTATGTAATGGACAAAGAAAGGAAACTAAATTTACAGATAAAGGAGATAAAAGCAAATATAGGAACAACAATCCTGGCAGCTAGAACAGCTTCTGAGATTGGCTCTTACCCTGCCACAACTCTTGATTACTGCAAAAAGCTAAATATTTCTGTATGTGTGCATCTGGCAAAGGTTTATGTAAATGTAACAGAACAAATGTTCTCAGTCAGTGTTCTTGTTGTCTAAGCTATAGAGCAATAGAGCAGATTTAGTCAACAAGGTCACTAGTTGTACCTCTTAACCAAGATGGAATTTCTATTTTCCAGCCAACCCTAATACTTGACCTTTACCAGCAGTTCTAGGAGAAGCAAGAAAATGTGATTATTCTGAGAATAATGCTTTTATCTCTCTAGTACCATTTCTTACTCAATTGGACTTGATTCCATCTTAAAGTAATGGAGTTTTTTAGTGTAAAGGAGTCTAATGTGGAAAGTGAAATCAGTTGACCCTGGTTGAAGGGAGTCTGGTTCAGCCACTGATTCAACTACTTGGTTCAGTAAGACTAACTTGTCAGATGAAACATCCTGAACCTCAGTTTTCTCATCTGTAAAACAGAGATAATAATATCTACATTGTAGAGACACTTTGAGGCTCAAATGAAAATGATTTAGTGTGGAATATATGCCACATTCAGTGTTCATTATTATGCAAAACTTGAATAACTTCTGTGCACTAGGCAACACACAGTCCACCAATGTTAAAAGGCAGACATTGATCATGTCCAGATACATTATGGCAAAGATCACTTTGTTCCTGTTCATTCTAGTCTTATTTTAGGCTTAGAGATCATCCAAGCCAGGATCTGCAGCACCTCTGTATCCTCAGCAACTTGGGCAATGTCTAACCACTAATAGATACTTAGAACCATCTGGTTAATGAATAAATAAAGTTATCTTTTATTCTTGAAGATTATATATAGCAAGTATTGTGCTAAGTACTGGGAAATAGAGTGATGAATAAGATAGACATCCTGAAGCCTGTGTGGGGCTTATAGTCTTCAGCATAGTGAGAGTGCAAAGAAAGACAAACATTAAACAAAAAAATTGCACAACAAATACATAGTGTTACCGCTATGAGGAAAAATAATGGTGGTGGTGGGATTTCCTATCATTCAGTCTGCAGAGATAGAAACAGCCTTATTTGAGTTTAAAAATAAATCCATTTCTCTTTAATAAGGAAAGCAACCACTAGCAGCCCTTAAAATTTCTAATAAGCGACAGTAGAAAACAAAATACAGTAAAACTGCCACCTCCTATGGCTTCTGCAAGGAGATGTGTCTAAGGTATGAATAACTGAGAATATTAATTCTCATCTTTTTCACTTCCAAGTATTAGAGTTCCCAGAGTTCAGGTCCCCTCTTCTCAATTACCTCCTACATGATTTCACTCCATCTCCATCTCATGGTTTTGCTTACCTATGTAAACGCTGAAACTCTCAAATTTGTATCTGTAGCTTGCTTAGACTCCAGAGTTGTATTCCTGCCTATTCAGAAACTACTCCAAAATTCCACCAGTAGACACATCTAGGAGGCATATCAAGCTTCCCTTGTCCCAAAAAGAATTCTGATTTCTCCTTACTATAAACCCAAGCCTCCAGTTGCCTTCTCTATCTCCATCACTATCCTTCCAGTTGCTCAGGCCAAAATACTGGGAGTCAGTCTAGTCCACCAGCAAATCCCATGACTCTACTTTCTCAAAACATCAGACTCTGATGATTTTCTCCATCTTCACTGCTACCACTCTAGTATGAGCCGCCAGCATCAATTGCTTGGCTCACTGCAATGGCCTCCTAACTGGTCTCCCTGCTTCTTCCTTGTCTCCTTATGGTCTATTCTCATCACATTAGCCAGAATGATCTTTGTAATATGTAAGCCAGATCATATTCCTCTAATCAGAACCCTCCGATTATAGAACCCTCTGTTACACTTAAAATGAAATCCCAAATCTATGCCATGGCCTACAATGCATGACATAATCTTTGTAAATTCTGATCTCATTTTCTACTACAACCTATGTATCTGTCTCAAATATCACACACACACTAGCTTCCCTTCTATTTCTTTTGCTCACCAAGCATAATCTTGGCTGATGGTCTTTGCACTTGCTAATTCCTGGACCTGGAACATTCTCCCATCCCACTCCCCCTGCACCCCTGGCTGTTCCTATGAGTCACTCACTCTTCATATAGGTCTCTCCTTAAATATTACCTACTCAAAAATATATATTATATAATAAATTGATATAGAATATATTAATATCTAATTAATACACAATCAATATATTAATATATAACAATGCATATTATTATGAAATTATATATTATATATTTTATATATTTAACTTTTATATATCATTTTATATAATATATTTTAATATATTATTATATATGATAATATATCATATAAATATTATTATTAACAATAATTTATATAATTAATAATATATATTATATAATTAATATATTGTATGTTATGATATATGATATTATATATATATATATATATATATATATATATATATATATATTACCTCAATAGCTTTCCCTGGCGACACTATATAAAATAATAATACCATCACTTTCTTTGTTTCTTATTTTTGCTTTATTTTGTTTTGTTAGAATTTAAAAATTGTAATACAGTTCAAATCAGTGTGCCAGGTCCATTTCATCTCCTTAATGGCCAAATCTGGGGGCAGGGATTGCTTCAGTTTCTCTGTCTTCTCTTTGTGATGAACAAGGTATAAAGGTATCTGCACTCTCTTTGTTTAAACATTTTTAGCTTTATTGAGGTAAAATTGACAAAATCATAAGATATTTAAAAGTATACAGCGTGATGTTTTGATATATGTATACATTGTGAAAGAATTCCCTCCATTGAGTTAATTAACATATCCATTACCTCAAATATTTACCTTCTTCTTTTTTAAAATATTTATTTGCTTGTTTGTTTATTTATTTATTTATTTATTTAGGTGAGAACATGTTAAGTTCTGCCCTCTTAGCATATTTCATTTATATAATACAATGTTATCAACTATAGTAACCATGTTATGCATTAGATCCTCAACACGATTCATCTTACAACTGAAAGTTTGTACCCTCTTACCAACTTCTCCCTATTTCCTCCCATACTCCCAGCCCCTAACAACAATTTTCCTACTCTCTTTTTCTATGACTTCAGGTTTTTTTTAATAAATTTATTTTTTATTGGTGTTCAATTTGCCAACATACAGAATAACACCCAGTGCTCATCCCATCAAGTGCCCCCCTCAGTGCCTGTCACCCAGTCACCCCCACCCCCGACCCACCTCCCCTTCCACCACCCCTAGTTCATTTCCCAGAGTTAGGAGTCTCTCATGTTCTGTCTTCCTTTCTGATATTTCCCACTCATTTTTTCTCCTTTCTCCTTTATTCCCTTTCACTATTTTTTTTATATTCCCCAAAAGAATGAGACCATATAATGTTTGTCCTTCTCCGACTGACTTATTTCACTCAGCATAATACCCTCCAGATCCATCCACCTCGAAACAAATGGTGGGTATTTGTTGTTTCTAATGGCTGAGTAATATTCCATTGTATGCATAGACCACATCTTCTTTATCCATTCATCTTTCGATGGACACCGAGTCTCCTTTCACAGTTTGGCTATTGTAGACATTGCTGCTAGAAACATTGGGGTGCAGGTGTCCCAGTGTTTCATTGCATCTGAATCTTCGGTGTAAATCCCTAGCAGTGCAATTGCTGGGTCATAGGGCAGATCTATTTTTAACTCTTTGAGGAACCTCCACACAGTTTTCCAGAGTGGCTGTACCAGTTCACATTCCCACCAAGAGTGCAAGAGGGTTCCCCTTTCTCCACATCCTCTCCAACATTTATTGTTTCCTGCCTTGTTAATTTTCCCCATTCTCACTGGTGTGAGGTGGTATCTCATTGTGGTTTTGATTTGTATTTCCCTGATGGCAAGTGATGTGGAGCATTTTCTCATGTGCTTCTTGGCCATGTCTATGTCTTCCTCTGTGAGATTTCTCTTCATGTCTTTTGCCCATTTCATGATTGGATTGCTTGTTTCTTTGCTGTTGAGCTTAATAAGTTCTTTATAGATCTTGGATACTAGCCCTTTATCTGATACATCATTTGCAAATATCTTCTCCCATTCTGTAGGTTGTCTTTTAGTTTTGTTGACTGTTTCTTTTGCTGTGCAAAAGCTTCTTATCTTGATGAAGTCCCAATAGCTTTGGTCATTAAGACAGTGTGGTACTGGCACAAAAACAGACACATAGATCAATGGAACAGAATAGAGATTCCAGAAATGGACCCTCAACTTTATGTTCAACTAATATTCGACAAAGCAGGAAAGACTATCCACTGGAAAAAAAGACAGTCTCTTCG